GCAACCCGACCCACGTGCACCCGCAGACCAACGTATAAAAGAGCCGTCGCCTTCCCACGGTCACTGCCCCAACGGGACCGCGGCGTCCGCCGAGATGCAGCTGCTGCTCCTGATGCTCGTCTTGGGTCTGGCTTACGCCGATAATTACGTGGAGGTACTGGGGACTCCCGAGCTGGAAGAAGGCTGCGTGCGTGTGTGTGAGCGTGTGAGATGCTTCGCTCGGCGGGAGTGCAGCAGGGTTTCCGTCACCCTGGGGTCTGCCTCTGCGAGCAAAAAACAGCCGGCCACAGGGCAGGCGGGGATGTCAGGAGGGGAAGCTTTGCTGCCCAGGGATCCGGAGGGCCCCCAAGCGAGTGAAAAACTGGACAGAGTGGGTCCAGCTCTCCCACACTGGGGCATGGACCTGAGGAAGCGAAGCTGCTGTGGTCTATACTGTGGGATGGTTGCTGCAGCGCTGTCTGTTTTAGCTCGGGTCGGGTAGCTGCATGCACGGTGGGGTAAATGAGATGAGCTGTGCCCACCCTGGAATATTACTCAGCCATGAACAAGGAATAACAGGCAGTCGCAATCGGTCGTGAACAGGAACATTACTCAGCTGTGAACAAGGAATAGTATTCAGCCATGAACAAGGAATAACAGTCAGTCGCGCTCGGTCGTGAACGAGGAATATTAGTCAGCCGTGAACAAGGAATAGCACTCAGCCGTGGGCAAGGAATAACAGTCAGTCGCGCTCAGTTGCGAACAAGGAATATTACTCAGCCGTGAACAAGGGGTGTTGCTGTCTGGGGCAAAATGGGAGGAGGACGAGGGAATTCTGCCACAGACCTTTGCCTGGTGGGGAATTTCAGAAAGCAAAAATGCTTTTCACGGTCAGCGGGTCCAAGCAAAGAAACAAGCCGGGCTGATGAAAAGCTCAGCCCCGTGCTCTGTGTCGGGGCCGCAGTCTCTGTGTCACCGCCTGTAGGTCATGAGCTGGTAGCCGACTCTGCTGCCCTCCGCAATACCCGATTTATTTCCATAACCGATCACGTGGGGGTCAGACGGAGAGAGGCCCCGACCAGCTCTTCCCACGACGCCCTTTCAGCTCCCCGGACAATGGCGGACACAATTCATAGCGTCCACGAACACCAGCATGACGGACGAGGGCGGCCCCCTACGCACCTACGTCCGCTCGTTCAGCTGCACCGAAAGTTGCGCGAAAGTCACCATCGCTTTCTACGTCAAGTAAGCCAGACCCGCCCCGTCTTGGGTCACCGGCGCCGAGAGGGCTGTGACCGCCCTGGGGCCTGGGGGCTTCTCATGCGTGTGTTCTGGACCGTTCACAGGGCTCCCAGTGGCTGCATCCCGTTCTCGGTAGAAGGGACGAAGACCACCGATGACATGTACACCACAGACTGTGAGTACGTGGCCCGGGGACGTCACTCTCGCGCCCCTGAGATTTGGCGAGACCGGAGAGCAAAACGTGAGCTTTTCCCATGTTCCCCCCCCCCCCCCGCTTTCTCGTGCAGTCTCTGGCAAAAACTACTTCCAGTTCCTCCACGTGTCCAAGGGCTTGGTGGTCGTCTACGTGAGGAACGAGAATGGCGACAGCGTCACGGAAGTGACAGAAGCTTTCGGTGAGGGGGGGCCCGGCTCTCCGGGGGTCGGCGTCGGTGTGGACGCGTGGGGGTCGGACCTCACGCGGACAGGGTCTCGGGCCTGAGAGGCCACCTGCTCTAGGCC